GTGTGGTCCCTCTGTAATATTGTTACCTACAGGTAGCACGAGGTGGTTGTTATGCACTGTGTGGTCCCTCCGTAATATTGTTACCTACAGGTAGCACGAGGTGGTTGCTATGCACTGTGTGGTCCCTCTGTAATATTGTTACCTGCAGGTAGCACGAGGTGGCTGCTATGCACTGTGGTCCCTCTGTAAGTCTAAGAAGAACCGGTTATTGATCAAAAGAGCTGGTGGATTTCCTCTTCTTGCTAAACTCATAAAAACAAAGGTATCTAATTGAAATAAATGGATCAATATGGTACTGCACGGGCAGCCGTAGTTCATTTGAATTTCCGAGCCGGGTCAACCTTTCCGGTCACAGTTTGTACTGTATCGCCCGGACATTGTGTAAATAGACACTCAATAGGACTAGCCGGTGCAACAAGTTAATAATTTTTTCATATTGTATGATGTTTAAGGGTAGTTTATGTAATATAGCGAGTAAACGTATATCACCATAAAGAAAACTGGCATACTGCTAGTTATTTTCCTTCAGGAGAACTGATTCAATGAGGCTAATCCATACATTTATTTGGATGCTTATTTAGATGCTTTTTTGTTTGTTTATTTTGATTAAAAATAATTATATTTGTAATTATTATTTTATTTAGATTTTTTTGTATGTTTATTTGGATGTTTGTTTATCTGTATTTTTTTTGGATGTTCATTTTGATGTTTTTCTGGACTTTTATTTAGATGTTTATTTGGATGTTTATTTGGATGTTTATTTAAATGTTTATTTGTTTGTTTATTTTGATTTTTATTTGAATGGATATTTGTATGTTCATTTGCATATTTATGAATGTTTATTTTGTTTGAAAATACAAATTTATATTGAGATGTTTTTTGGATGTTTATTTCGATATTATTTTGATCTTTATTTGGATGTTTATTTGTTTATTTGGATTTTAATTTTATGTTTATTTGTATGTTTATTAGGATGTTTTTTTGTATGTTTATTTGGATGTTTATTTTGTTACTTGTTTAGCTAGATTTTTAATTGGATTTTTGTTATGGTGTTTATTTGGATGTTTCTGTATGTTTATTTGGTTACTTTTTATTTTTATTGTATGTTTATTTGTATGTTTATTTGTATGTTTATTTGGCTACTTATTTAGTTAGATTTTTATTTGGATTTTTGTTTTGTTGTTTATTTGGATGTTTATGTATGTTTATTTGGATGTTTCTACATGTTTTTTCGGATTTTTATGTATGTTTATTTGGATGTTTATGTATGTTTATTTAGTTACTTTTTTATTTTTATTTTAATGTTTATTTGTAACAATCATGTGCATTGTGCATGAGTTTGTCCTTTATAATATTATTAAAGTAAAATTACATGTTTATAGTCTACATTTTACATTTCCCTGCAATACAGGTCAAAAGGGTTTAAAGCTTCTGAGAAAATAATTCTTCCTACTTAAAATAAAATTCCCTTCTTAAAATTTATTCTTACAAACACCCCTAATTTAATGCAATAGAACTAAGGAGAAGGATTTAAAATTCGGTGGCATGGTGATGGACCAAACCTCTGAAGAGTAAAAAAAGTAGATGTTAGTTCCACATTTATTGAAAATATATTTCAGTCTGGGCTTACCCTCGTCAGTTCTAATGATATAATATCCATCAAAATCGATAAATTTTTTTTTAAAGCTCAAGAAAATAAACAAACAAAAAAGATCATTTAAAAAAGTTTTGGGCTGTCAAAGGAGAAGGAGATAGGGTTGATTATAACGTAACTGAACAGCTCCAGAACTAGTTTTGTAAACAACCATTATTTAACAAACAATGATTGCTTAAGCCCGGTCCTATATATGTTCCTGAGATGTCTTGATAATTCATACTTTCACTAAAATATGAACAAATCCTTTTCCCTTTTTCCATTCAGATAAAGTAGATTTAGAAGAGAGCAGTTAAAGATTATGAGGACTATATGGCCGAATCCATTAGCGCTTGATCCAATCAGGGTTCAGTCATGTGTTTGTTGTCTATTCTGAACCAATAGAAATAATATGGCGGTGATTCTATCTTTCTATCTATCTCATTATGCAATCAGAGTTATGAATCCTTCAATCGGCGCTATCAGTAAATGGAAATATCTACTATAGGGCCGAATCCCTTATAGAACTTGTAGAACAGGAGACCTTTTAGGTTCCTGTTTTATTATTGTGGATGTCAAGTCTATTAGGAACCCTTTGATTCAAAGCGTGGATATCAAGTCTACTAGAAACATCGAGATTAATTTTAACCCATTGATTATTGTGGATGTCAAGTCTGCTATAAACATAGAGAATGGGTTTATACCCATTGATTATTGTGGATGTCAAGTCTACTTAAAACATCGAGAATAGGTTTTTATCCATTGATTATTGTGGATGTCAAGTTTGCTAGAAACATAGAGATAGGTTTACACCCTACATACTAAAAACATCAAGAATGGGATTAGACCATTTGATGAGTGCAAAATGTGGATGTCAAGTCTACCTGCAACATTGAGAATAGGTTTACACCCTTTGATTAGTGTGGATGTCAAGTCTACTAAAAACATCAAGAATGGGATTAGACCTTTTGATGAGTACGAAATGTGGATGTCAAGTCTATTGGAAACATGGAGAATGGGGTTTACTCCCTTTGATTAATTTGGATGTCAAGTCTATTAGAAACATCAAGAATGGGATTAGACCTTTTGATGAGTACGAAATGTGGATGTCAAGTCTTTTGGAAACATGGAGAATGGGGTTTACTCCCTTTGATTAGTGTGGATGTCAAGTCTATTAGAAACATCTAGAATGGGGTTTACTCCCTTTGATTAGTGTGGATGTCAAGTCTATTGGAAACATCGAGAATGGGGTCTCCTCCATTTGATTAGTGTGGATGTCAAGTCTATTAGAAACATCGAGAATGGGGTCTACTCCCTTTGATTAGTGTGGATGTCAAGTCTATTAGAAACATCTAGAATGGGGTTTACTCCCTTTGATAAGTGTGGATGTCAAGTCTATTGGAAACATCGAGAATGGGGTCTACTCCCTTTGATTAGTGTGGATGTCAAGTCTATTAGAAACATCAAGAATGGCTTCACACCATTTAATATGCTGAAAATATCCATTTGTCGTAAGAATGTGTTCCAAATATGAGCTGAATTGTTCTAAATAATGTTTACATTTTTACTCTTACTAAAATTTGATACTTTTCCTAAATCAACATATTTAAGTGCAATAAAAATGTTTAATTATCTCCTGACTAGATTTCCTTGAAATACAGGTTTATGAAATTAGAGATTGTGAGAGTGAATACTTCTCATATCATTCCTATATTTAAAGTTTTAAACAAAACAAATTAAACCTACACCATTAATAAATGTAATATGTAATATGTATGTATCTTAATGTGCTTAAATAAATCTTTAATAATAAAAATAAAATTTAAATAAAATTGTATAATTTCTGTTTCCTTTCAAGAGGAACTTGAAAGTGTGATTTTTAGTGACCCTTGACAAAAGAGAATTCTGTGTTTTTATCTCTTAAATAGTGTTTAGCTTGAGTGTCCGCTAGCATATAGTGTGAACTCAATGAACCCAGCTGACTTTACTCATATTTATCAAAATTCTATGGCCTGCGATGTTTTCAAAAATTAAATTCAAATAAAGATATTTATTTCCCACCGACTTCTGGAAAGTAAATATTAACATTTGTAAATTATAGAACAGCTTGCAAATAATGTTTTGAAACCTTGTCTCAGAAAATGAGAAATGTGAATATGAATGATTGGCTAGGAAGGTATTTTGGAAGTTGAGTTGGGGAGGGTAGCTTGAGATGGTAGGATAAATATAAAAACAGATATATAAAAGACTTCTTAATCTTTAACCAGCAATATGATGTTCTCTCTCTCTCATGAATCGATGTGGTTGCAAATTAAAGAAGTATATTGATCAGATCTGGTCACATAAAGAATATAGGGTTCTTTGCACTCGCTTTGACCGCGAGGGTGGTACGCGGGTCGAACAGTTCTTTTCTTTTTGTAGGAGTTACATCTTGAATCCTTCCTCTTTTCTGGTTCTATATCGACTGTGTATAGCCTGCTTTTTGCAGATTTCCAAATGCAGGGCAAATTTAAAGATAGTAATATTTGACAATATAAACACTTTTAGGCTTAAAAAAGATATAAAAGTGAAAACATGAAAACATATTAATAACTTTTAGGGAGATTTATATGGTTAAAGCGCAATTTCAAGATATCATTCATTGATAAGATTTCATGTCTGATTCAAAGCAGTACCCTTAAAAGCTTTGTCTAATTAAGCATGAATTCATCCATGTTTTTGCTTTTGAAAACTGTTTTTTTTCTTTTGTGGTTTCTTGCGCAAAATTATAAATATATTCCCTCTAAGGGTAAAAATGGGAAGTTTCACACAGAACAGAAATTCTCTTTGGAAGTTGGAGATTAACTGAAAATCCTCAATTTTTTTCTCCCCTAAAATTTGATATTATGGATGCATGATTTTTTAAGGAAATAAACACCCCTGACTAGAATTCTGGCAGTCTTCTGGATCCTTATATTAAACCCTATAGTCAAGACATGAAACCAAGTATAAAGGCATTAAGGCAGTATTACATTTACAATGTATGCATGGAAAATTGTTGAATATTATAGTAATATAAAGCAGAAATACACGAGCTTCACATTTTACAACAAGAGGAGTCCAAATAACATAAAGGAATAAAATGACAACGAATAAAAGTCATTATTTCTAAAGGGTAGAATGCAAAGGCGTTCACAGGGGGCTTAGGGGGCTAAGCTCCTAATTGAAGAGTGAAAACTATGGATTAAGGAGAAATTCTGGCCCCACAGGGCCTCTGGAAATGTAAATAAAGATTTAAATTTCTTGGCCCTGGGAGAATGATAGTCTTTGAATTTTCTGTTCTAAATACAATGAAATTTAACTTTTAATAATTAAAAATAGGTTTAGTTAAAGAAAACGCCGGGGGTTTACTTCCTAGAAAATATATCTTTTTTCCCCATATCTTTTTTCAGCTGAATTTGAACTGTCAAGAATGTTTGTCTTTTAAAGAATAGCGTTTTTCAGATGGGTAAACTCTTTATTTTTTAATTTTTACCCATTAAAAGTCAAAGTTCATACTCTTAAATTAAAATTCTTAAAACATGGATTCCAAAAATGACTTCTGTGGAAAGGATTCGTTATTCAGAAAAGTACGCAAATGAATAAATGCCCTTTTTTGGAAAAATTCTTATTTGGCAAATACATCTGTCAATAAGATAAATCTAATAGTAACTCCAGATGTGGAATTGAAAAGAAGAAATTGAGCCGTGTTAGAATAAGTTTGGTTTATTGGGTTCATCAATTGATTGAATTTGATATTGAATTCACATTATTCAAAGTTTGAGGTGGAATATTGACATTTCAATTTAGAGTTTAAGAATGAAGAGGAAAAAACTTCAAGGTTAATGCATTTTAAGATTTAATTGGGTTTTATGAGACAATGTTACAGTTTATAAGAATAGCCTGGTGTGAACTCGAATAAAAACTTCTTTTCAAATTGCAAGTTTTTCATAAGACTATAAAACTTGTAAATGCAGTAATTTTTGAAAACATCTCAAAAACTATTTTTTTTTATAAATCCTGTACATAATAAATACATAATACACCCATGTACATACCTACAATCTGCTTGCATATTGCATATATATTATATATACATACAGGGGCGTACAAGGGCTTTTGTTTAATTTAATGGCCCTATGGTGTACAATATTGTTAAAGCTTTCTTTGTTGCTCCTTAGTTTCGAAAATAAATCAATAAATATGCCACACTAAGTGCTAGAAATATATTACGTTTTTTAGTTTCAAGTTTCGCTTTAAGAATGTTTGCGGCATTTTCCTCTGAATGTTGTTTTAAACTCCTTATAAAGAGAAGAAACTTTAACCCATTATTAGTGGACTAAATACTTCATTTTCAATAGCGGGTGTGATGAGACTAATACAAAAATCTAAACACTGTAAAGGTTTTATGAAAATATCTTTTAAATGGAGATGGATATTACTTTGGGCGGGATGAGATAATTTTTAGTAAATTTTAAGGCCTTTCTATGCATATAATTAGTTTTGCTGTAGATGTTAAACTCGAGTTGGCGAATACAAAAATCTAAACACTGTAAAGGTTTTTTGAAAATATCTTTTAAATGGAGATAGATATTACTTTGGGTGGGATGAGATAATTTTTAGTAAACAGGCAGCCCGACCTTTTTTGTATCTTGACGCCAATCATGAAATGCAGTCATTAAAGTGGCGAATTGGATCTAAGATTCGGCTAAAATGAACTGTGCCTTGATTCTCAGTTTTTGTTGACCAAACAAATCTGAAAATAATTTGAAAATTTAGTTTAAGTCAATACAGATGCCATAAAACCCCGATAGATGTCAAAAATTGTGTTAAAAGTGCATTAAATTAAAATCACAGAAAACAAAATTTTACGGTGATTACTCTGGACTCCCTCCCTCGCCTGACCTGAGAAAGGGAAATGCAAGCAGATGTAATATTAAAAGAGCCTCCCCCACGGGTGCCCCACCTCAGCCTCTCAGGGGGGGCACGCGTAGAGGGGGACGGGGGGGCGCGGCCCCCCCCTCGTACGCCCCTGTATACATACATTATACACACATATATATTACTGGACATATTTATTTCGATGATGTACTGTACAAAACAAATTTTTATATTTAAGTTTGATGGATTAATTGTTTATGTTAGGAATGAACCTTGTAAATCTTTTCTGACCAAAATAAAGTTTAAAACTAAATCTAAAGTTTACCAACCTCAGGTTAAATATAAAGTAAAATTCTATGAACTCTCTAGAGAACATTTTACTTCAGAACTCCTTTATAATAAAAACATTTTAAAATACATGTATTGTAGATTCAAGCTGATCTGTATTTTGATATTTTGATCATCAAACATTATATTTCGTTTCAATAAAGAAAATTTTTGATTTAGAATATTTCCTTGCTGATTCCTGTGATTGGAAGTCTACAGGAGTGTGCAGCAGAGAAAAGTTACTGCTTAGCTATACAGGTAATTCAATAGGATCGATTAGGATTGATTAGGATTGAATAGGATTGATTAGGATTGATTAGGATTGATTTGGATTGATTTGGATTGATCTGGATTGATTAAGATTAATTAGGATTAATTTAAATTGATTCAGATTGATTTGAATTCATATGGATTGATTTGGATTTATCTGGATTGATTTGGATTGATTTGGATTGATTAGGATTGATCAGGATTAATTAGGATTAATTTGAATTGATTTGGATTGATTTGAATTGATTTAGATTGATTTGAATTGATTTGGATGATTAGGATGATTAGGATTGATTAGGATTGATTAGGATTGATTTAAATTGATTAGTCTTTATCAGGATTGATTTAGATTGATTTTGATTGATTTTGATTGATTAGAATGGATTAAGATTGATTAGGATTGATTAGGATTAATTAGGATTGATTTGGATTGATTTGGATTGATTAGGATTGAAGAGGGTTAAAGAATTAGGATTAAAGAGAATTGATTTGGATTTATTAGGATTGATTTGGATTAACTTGGATTGATTAGGATTGATAAGAATTGATTAGGATTGATTAGGATGGATTAGGATTGATTTGGATTGATGAGGATTTAAGAGGATTGGTTAGCATTGATTAGAATTGGTTTAGATTGATTTGGATTGTTAGGATTGATTTAGAATGATTTGGACTGATCTAGATTTATTAGGATTGATTTGAATTTTAGGATTGATCAGGGTTAATTATGGTGCATTTGGATTGATTTGGACTGATTTGGATTGCCTAGGATTGATTTGGATTGATTTAGATTGATTTAGATTGATTAGAATTGATTAAGATTGATTAGGATTGATTTGGACTGATTTGGATTGCTTATGATTGATTTGGATTGATTAGGATTGATTTAGATTGATTAGAATTGATTAGGATTGATTAGAATTGATGAGGATTGATTTGAATTGATTAGGATTGATTAGGATTGATTAGGATTGATTAGGATTGATTTGGATTGATTAGGATTGATTAGGATTGAGTAGGATTGAGTAGGATTGATTTAGATTGATTTAGATTGATTTAGATCGATAAGAATTTATTTGGATTGAAGAAGATTGATTTGGATTTAGTAGAATTGATTAGGATTGATTTAGATTGATTAGAATTTATTAGGATTGATTTAGATTGATTAGAATTGATTATGATTGGTTCGGATTAATTAGGATTGATCAGAATTGATTTAGATTGATTTGGATTGATTTGAATTTTAGGATTGATAAGGATTTATCATGGTGGATTAGGATTGATTTGGAATAATTTGGATTGATTAGGATTGAATTGGATTGATTGTAATATGTAAGGATTGATTACAATTGATTAGAATTGATGAGGATAATTTAAAATTGATAGGGATTAATTAAGATTGATTAGGATTAATTAGCATTGATTTAGATTGATTAGGATTGATTTGGATTGATTAAAATTGATTTTGATTGATTATGATTGATTTGGATTGATTTGGATTGATTAGGGTTGATTTGGATTGATTTGGATTGATTTGGATTGATTAGAATTGATTAGGGTCGATAATAATTCATTTAGATTGATTTAGATTGATAAGGATTGATTAGGATCAATTATGGTGGAATAGGATTGATTAGGATTAATTTGGATTGAAGAAGATTGATTAGGATCGATTTGGATTGAAGACGATTGATTTGGAATGATTAGGATTGATTTGATTTGATCAAAATAGATTTGGATTGATTTGAATTGATTAGTCTTTATTTGGATTGATTACAAAATACAAAATACAAAAAGAAAGAATTGCAAAGAATTTTTGCTTGAATTTCGGAACTTAAATATCTCTTAAAAGAATATTTAATCTCTTACCTCTCCCCTCTCCCCTCTGCACTCCTCCCTCTGCCCTCCCCCCTCCCCCCTCTGCCTCTCTGGAAACTCTTTCTGGTCTGACAAAAACGCTGTGCATGATACAGTCCATTGAAAGCTTGTGTTTATTTAGAGGAGCTCTTCTGTTTATTATGTTTATTTACTCAATATTCTGCAAGTATATTGCTGCTAGTGCAACCAGAAACAATGAGGGAGTTTTATTTTATTTTACTCTGTTCTTTCATCCAGTTTTATTTATTTTACTCTGTTCTTTCATCCAGTTTTATTTTTTTTTACTCTGTTCCATTCAGTTTTATTTATTTTACTCTGTTCCATCCAGTTTTATTCATTTTACTCTGTTCTTTCATCCAGTTTTATTTATTTTACTCTGTTCCATTCAGTTTTATTTATTTTACTCTGTTCCATCCAGTTTTATTTATTTTACTCTGTTCCATCCAGTTTCATTTATTTTACTCTGTTCCTTTCAGTTTTATTTATTTTACTATTTTCCATTCAGTTTTATTTTGTTTTACTCTGTTCTTTCATACAGTTTTATTTATTTTACTCTGTTTCATCCAGTTTTATTTTATTTTACTATTTTCCATTAAGTTTTATTTATTTTACTCTGTTCTTTCATCCAGTTTTATTTATTTTACTCTGTTTCATCCAGTTTTATTTTATTTTACTCTGTTCTTTCATCCAGTTTTTTTTATTTTACTCTGTTCCATCCAGTTTTATTTATTTTACTCTGTTCCATCCAGTTTTATTTATTTTACTCTGTTCTTTCATCCAGTTTTATTTATATTACTGCTGGCTAAACTTTGCTCAATTTTTAGTTTAAAGTTTTCATGTTTTTATTGTTTGGAAAACTAATAAACTTTCATCCTGCTTCCCAGCACAATATAACAAATATTAATATATGATTTTAATCAAAGTATTGTAGAGGATGAAATCCCCAAAAGAGGATTAAAAAAATCCGCAAATCAGTCGTGTCGGATCTTGTAACCAGAGAAGACCTACTCAACTTCCTCTCCTTTTATATACTCGTTATTTATCATATAATTGTATCTAGAAGCAATAAATGTACTTCTAAAGTGGTGACCCCAAACAACAAACGAACCATGGCCAAAAACACAGCCTCCTGCAGGTCAGAAACAGCCCAAGAATTGGACAAGGATGACTTTCTTCATCCTAAAAAACCTCAACTACTTCTGGAGCTAATAAGCTAAACCTCAGCTGCTCCTGGAGCTAATAAGCTAAACCTCAGCTACTCCTGGAGCTAATACTAAATCTCAGCTACTCCTGGAGCTAATAAGCTAAATCTCAGCTAATCCTGGAGGTAATAAGCTAAACCTCAGCTACTCCTGGAGCTAATAAGCTAAACCTCAGCTACTCCTGGAGCTAATAAGCTAAATCTCAGCTACTCCTGGAGCTAATAAGCTGAATTTCAGCTACTCCTGGAGCTTATAAGCTAAACCTCAGCTACTCCTGAATTCAATAAGCTAAACTTCAGCTTCTCTAGAAGCTAATCAGCTACACAGCTACTCCTAGAGCTAATCAGACAGCTACTTCTGGAGCCAGCAAGGAACTCAACTAACAACTTTAACCTACTCGTAGATATTCTGGACGCCACTTCTCTACAGGTTAAACCTATGCCCACCTAGCCTTCACTGCAAGTGATCTCTTCAAACTGCCACTGACCAGCCTTACTTAAGATTGATCATGACGTAGGGAAGGGGCAGATCAGAAATTTACGAACAGCTAATTGTGAATAATGATCTATCATCCCCAGAACTCCTTCTACTCCTTTTCTAAACACTTACACAAGGAGATATGTATCAGTCTCGACTACCTCTATGCTCGAGACTTGGGGGGACTTCTGTAGAGGATGAAATCCCTGAAAGAGGATTATGAAAATCCGCAAATCAGTCGTGTCGGATCTTGTAACCAAAGAAGACCTACTCAACTTCCATTTCTTTTATACACTCGTTATTTATCATGCTATTATATCTAGAAGCAATAAATGTACTTCTAAAGAATCATATTTGCTTGTACTAATCTAGCCCGTCTCTCCTCACTCTAACTCCAATTTTCAGTCAACCCTGACTGCTGTATGGCTAAACCGCCTCTAACTCTAATAATCGGTCTACCCAGACCGATTCCGTCTCTACTGATCAAGAGTCTGTATTCAACTGATTTATTTATAAACATGGTTATACGGGCCGGTATGACCGGCCAGGTTACAAATTATAATACAAAATATGAATAGCATAGTAAGGTAGATAGTTAGCGATACAGCTACTGCAGAATTCATTACAAGCTTCATATTTGTCTGGAGGAAAACAACTAAAATTACATTTAAACTTTGTATTTTGTTAGCAAGGTTTAGACGCTCTTTCTAACTGATTTTTGTACAAGCAACACAAATACAGACACCGTAGAGAATAAACGATTAAAGAGACTGTTAAAGTAATTACAAGTGACCTTCTATCTACTTCTGGCATGTTCAATACGTAAACTTTGTCTTATCAGCAAAACCAAGCAAAGTTTTAAAGGACACAGTTGTGAACTGGACTGTCACTCTACAAAATGAAACCTCACTTGAATATACGTCTACAGTCCCTTTATGTTGTGTAAATTAACGTTTACAGTCCCTTTATTTTCTATAAATTAACGTTTACAGTCCCTTTATATTGTGTAAATTAACGTTTACAGTACCTTTATGTTCTATAAATTAACGTTTACAGTCCCTTTATGTTTATAAATTTACGTTTACAGTCCCTTTATGTTTATAAATTTACGTTTACAGTCCCTTTATGTTTTATAAATTTACGTTTACAGTCCCTTTATGTTTTATAAATTAACGTTTACAGTCCCTTTATGTTTTATAAATATACTTTTACAGTCCCTTTATGTTTTGTATTTACGTGTACAGTCCCTTTATGTTTTATAAATTTACGTCTACAGTCCCTTTATGTTCTATAAATTTACGTTTACAGTCCCTTTATGTTTATAAATTTACGTTTACAGTCCCTTTATGTTCTATAAATTTACGTTTACAGTCCCTTTATGTTCTATAAATTTACGCCTACAGTCCCTTTATGTTTTATAAATTTACGTTTAATACAGTCCCTTTATGTTTTATAAATTTACGTGTACAGTCCCTTTATGTTTTATAAATTTACGTGTACAGTCCCTTTATGTTGTATGAATTTACGCCTACAGTCCCTTTATGTTTTATTAATTTACATTTACAGTCCCTTTAAGTTTTATAAATTTACGTTTACAGTCCCTTTATGTTCTATAAATTTACGTGTACAGTCCCTTTATGTTTTATGAATTTATATTTACAGTCCCTTTATGTTTCATAAATTTACGTGTACAGTCTCTTTATGTTTTATAAATTTACGTTTACAGTCCCTTTATGTTGTATAAATTTACGTTTACAGTCCCTTTATGTTAGATTGTCCACAAAAAATTTCAGCCCAATCGGTCCAGCCGTTTTGCCGGCTATACGCAACATATATACGAATGTCTTGTTCTATTATATAGATAGATAGATAACCAGAAAACTCTGGAATAAGAAGTCGAGTTTTAGAGTTAAGTTAGGACTTAAAATAGACTAAAGAACATGAGGCACAGCAAGTGCAGTGTAAAGAGCCCCATTTCACTTAATAAATGATTTTATAACTTTCTATAAAGGTTATTCGCTTTGTAACAACATCAAATAAACTTCAGTGTTGCTTTAATGTCGTCTTCCTATTCTACAGTTTTCTGGTTATCACTGTACCTCTAGAAAGCACTAATATGTTTTATTTGCACAAACAGAGTTGAAAACTTTAGAATGGAATATCCTTAATCCCGATCTGTTAATAAATCTGGAGATTAAAAACTAAGGGAGAACAAGCACTATTTAATCTGGAGATAAAGAAAAAGAGGAGATCAAGCATTTCTCTCGATATCCACCATTCTAAAGTTTTCAGCTCAGATTAAATTATTTAATCCTAATGCTAGAAAAAGTTCTGTTCTTGTCAAATGCCAGTCTAAGCTTTTAAATTGAAAGTTTCCGCCTTGGTTTGGACTTTTTAAAAGCGTTTGATTTTTAGGGATTTTATGATAATTTTTAAGACTATTAAAGGGATAAAAAAGCGCTTTTGATCGCTACTAATCTTACTTCTATCTGTTGCGTATATAAGGAGAAAATTATTAAAGACGTCTCATACCGAAGGACGTAGCGCCCATACAAACTGAGAAAATTGCAACATACGACTTAGACCGTAAAAAATCAATTTAATTTCAATAATACCTTCAGATATTACAACCTATATTCATCGATTATCTTTCGCCACATTTGTATATAGTTTATATTTTACAATATTTTTTAACTAATTTGTTTTGAATTTGATTATTTCTCTTGTCGCGTGCGCAACTATCTAAGAATGCCGCGCACCACTCACATTTTTCGAAATCCGTTAAAAACGTTTTCTAAAAAATTAAATGTAAAAAATTAATCAAAAAATATTATAAACTATAAACTATATACAAATGTAGCGAAAGATGATCGATGACTATAGGTTCTAATATCTGAATGACGGTCTAAGTCGTATATTGCAATTTCCTCGATTTGTATGGGCGATAAGTTATTCGGTATGAGACGTCTTTAACAATTTTCTCCTTATAGACGCAACGAATAGAAGTAAGATTAGCAGCGATCAAAAGCTCTTTTTATCGCATTAAGCCTATACCCCCTTTCATTTTTCGTGAACACTCCCTTTAAAAGTTATAGATTTGCGTTTTGCAATTGTAGATTTTTAAAATCTGCTAATATACTGGATGCCGAAGACTTAAAGCAGCGCAAAGCATGTTTTTTTTTAATTTTAATCACATGAGTTTGAAAACCCATCAATATCAAATAGATTCTAATACTATAGATGGAAACCCATCAATATCAAATAGATTCTAATACTATAGATGGAAACGTAGAATTTGTTCACTCTTAATACAGCTTCTGACGTCACAAGTGTCAACTCAGTTTTTGTGTCCGACAAAATTATGAATAATAGTGATAATTTTAGAATAAAGTGCTTATCTTCAGTAAAATAAGTGCAATTTTTTTTGTGTTCTTGATTTTTATTTTTACACTTTTTATTTAACCTTGGAAAACATGTCAAGTAATGTGAGAAAATATCGTGGTCCTTGTTATATTTGACACTTGTGACGTCGTGTATAATTGGTCCATTTCTCTGTTGCCACCTATTGTACTTGATAATCTATTTGATCAATATAAATTTCATGAGTTTGGTAAAACATGTTTCTAAGAGCGAATAGAATCGAAAATTTAACAATTTATTGAAAATTTGATTTGAAATTAATGATCAAGTGAAGAGTAATAATGGATTACAACCTCTAGTCGAGCTGATTAAAGACCATTCTAACCACGAGAATAAGGAGCTGATGGCAGCTGTTACAGGTATAAATCTGTTAAAGGGTAAAACGGATAGCAACAATGAAATTCTATATATTCGACTATATCTATCTATCATCAAATTCTATATATTCGACTATATCTATCTATCATCAAATTCTATATATTCGATTATATCTATCTATCCTCAAATTCTATATATTCGACTATATCTATCTATCCTCAAATTCTATATATTCGACTATATCTATCTATCATCAAATTCTGTATATTCGATTATATCTATCTATCATCAAATTCTGTATATTCAATTATATCTATCTATCTATCTAACCTATTCAGGTTAATAAGTTGTCAAGAGGCACAATAAACAGAGTTGATATTAGTTTAACAAACTAGCAAAGTATGAAACTAGATTTATAGATCATTTATATGTTCATAGAATTTGGTACTTCAACCCCCCCCCCTCCTCTCTCTCCCTCCCTTGCAAAATACCCATTTAAAGAGGAAAATTTCATAGTCCCCCCTCCCCCCACCACAATACTATTAAAAAAAATATTGTGAGAATCTGAACGAATACAAAATGTAGCTAAACCCTCCAGACAATGGCATGTCTAAATCACACATGGTACCTTTGAAAGCTTTGTCTGATTAAGTATACAATAGATGTCCATGTTTTTCTTTTGAAAACTGTTTTTTCATTTGTGTTTTTAGTACATAAGTGACTAGCGCAAACTTTAAAGGGAGTGTTCACGAAAAATGAAAGGGGGTATAGGCTCAATGCGATAAAAAAGCGCTTTTGATCGCTACCAATCTTACTTCTATCTGTTGCGTCTATAAGGAGAAAATT